TGTGTTTTGGTAAAATTCTCCATGCTGATCGACAGGTTAAGGCTTAATGTTATGTTATCTTTTTTCAGCACCTTGCTCAGGTTCAGGATATGTGAATGAATAGTTAAGATGACCATGTCTTTGAGCATCTACAGAAATACCATTCTTTTATGGATGCTTTTCTGCAACCAGAGTGAGGATTCGGGTAACAAATTATAGACTAAAGACTGTCAATTTATGGCAACACCTTAATTTTTAGAAATTTATCACTGGGTTGTCTTATAGTAGTGGTTTCATTTGCATTCTCCAAGACTGAACAGATGCTTCTTAGTTTTCTATTAATCTGTCACATTTTGATTCATTTATGCAGCCTTGGTAGAGGAGACGTATGCAGAGCTGCAAACCTAAACTAGCTGATGTTCCATTTTAAGCACTACTGAATGTAATTTACTTCTCAATAGATGTGTATAGGATTACACTGTAAATATCTTTACTGGGCTAATTTTCTAAGGATTTCATTTTCATAAAGCCCATATATAGCCGTATTCCACTGACTCCATTTACCTTGTTTTCCAATGCTAGTTTCTTATTGAGTGTTGTGTAAATTTAGCTTTATAGGAAAATGGGAAGGATACCTTTTAGATGTCGACATGTACACACAGGCTGCCAAGCACTTCAGGTCCTCTTTGTGCTCCCAGATTCCTTGATGTTAGATATTTGGAACAGTGGAATTATCTTTTCAGCTCATGTAATAGGGGATACTTGGCTAAAAAATTTCAGCCTATCAGTTCTATCCACTCCCAGGAATGCCTTACTTTGATAGTAAATATGGCTAATTTTATAACTCTCACCGTCCAGTCCCTTCCAGATTGCTTTAAATATTTTTAAATTAGATTGGGTCAAAGCAACATCTGAAGGACCCTTGACAATGCGCCATTGGTAATGACAGGGAAATCAGACATCGATGTTTGGTTTGAAACTAGCACTGTTAAGAGTACATAATAGTCATAATCTCTGTTTTCTCTCAAATGCCGTCGGGAGCATGTGACAGCAATGCGACAATTTTAAACTTAGTTACCCAAAATTATGTCTGGAGGGCTGAAACATATTAAAGACTGTGGCAGGGCTTCTTAACGGTTTGCGGTCAGCTGACAGCAGTCAGGTCACTGAGACTAATTTTTTTGGGGGGGGAGCAAAATGTTGCCACAAAACAAAACTCAACCCTGATTAATCCTCCCCACTCCACCCCCTCAGCAGGTTTCTGCTTTGGCATGTAGGATTTGGCTTTGGTGACTGTGCTGGCAAATGAGCAAATTGGCATTTGGTGAATGAAAGTAATGGTTTGGCTGATGAATGAAACAAAAAAGCCACAGTAGGTTGCAGTGCTCTCTAATCTTATCAGTGGGTTGCAGTAATTTGTCTTTTCAATCAAGTGAGTGTTTATGGAGTCCTGAAATATAAAATTTGTCACACATGGATTATAGAGTTTTCACTTGTATTTCGATGCCTCATTTCCTGCCACTTTAAATCTCCTTTGCAACAGCAGCAAAATAGTGTGTGTGTGGGAAGATAACAAACAGAGAACTACCCTGTTTCCCCGAAAATAGGACCTAACCTGAAAATAAGCCCTAGTATGATTTTTCAGGGTGCTCATAATATAAGCCCTACCCCCAAAATAAGCCCCAATTAAGTGAAATTCCGCCCTCCACCATTGTGTAGCAACCAAAAGAAGATGGCATGGCTGTATTTGAATAAACGTAGATTGTTGTACATGAAAAATAATCCCCTGAAAATAAGCCCTAATGTGTTTTTTGGAGCAAAAAATAATATAAGACCCTGTCTTATTTTCGGGGAAACAGGGTACAAAGCCAGAAGAGGCCCGTTGGATCTTTGAGTCCAACTCCCGTCAAAAAAGGCACAGTGGGGAACTGAGCGCCCAACCTCCGGCTCTACAGGCAGACAGATGACTAAACTACGTACTGAGTTATCTAGCATTTACTATTTAATTTAGATTAGTTCCAAACAGTATACATTTTATATAAAATGTAAAGGCTGATAATTGAATATCAGCTCAGTTATGTTCTCCTGTGTCTATTACCATATGACTTAATAACTCTTTAAGCTTAATGTTTTACTTTAAGTGCAGAGTTGGAGAAAAGAGCTGTGTTGGTTTTAAAGTAGGATTTTGAAAAAAGAAAGAAAAATATATTCATCTCTCTACAACTCTGGAATTCTTATCCTCTGGAGTACTGCCAAAGCCCCTATTTGTGTGATTTCCAGGAGCAGTGTGTTAAGATATTTTCATTCAAACTGGATTTTAGCAAGCAGGGGTAAGGTGGAGGTGGGGGGGAAGTTTTGTGTAATTGATTAATGTACCTTTCTCTGGCTGCTAGGATAGGATAGGTCATGACATGTTTATTTGGAAGTTATGCCCAATGCATTCATGAAAGCCTATTTGCAGGCAAAAGGGTGTAGCATTGCAGCCTAAGGGTGAAACTATACATTAGTGATAACTTGTCATTGGAAGCTGAAAGCACATTGATGTTCCAGAGACAAGATTCTGGCTGTGTTTTGTGCTGGAGGATTCATACTCTCTAATGGATCCCAGTTTTACTTCTGATGACCATTCACAAAGCAAAGCAAATACACTTGCAAGATGTGGGAAATGTGAAATGCTCCTGTTCCATAATCAGATGTCTTTTAGTGCTTAAGGAGTTCATGGTTTGGAAGCCTACCCTAATTTGGTAGTTACGAAACAGTGTTCCCTCAGATTCTCCAATGTTTTGTTGTAAAACAATGTTAGTTTTACCAGCCATGCATCTTGCATTTCTGCAGCTTTGTTGCAACCATATGAGCCTGCAATCCTGCATTTCTGTTCCGAGCCAGAGAGAGAGAGAGAGAGAACAGAAGAGGCACCTGAACCCCCTATATTCGTTACTGTATTGTATTTTCTAAAAAAGGACGATTCTTTCATTGATACCCAGAGAGAATAAAAGTGTGTTTTGTAGAGAATGTTGGGGTGGGTGAGGGGGAAGATGGCTAAATTCAGATTCAGTTCCCACCCCCACAATTCTTAGGCAGGGTACTCTGCTGTAAAGTAAAGATCTTCTTCCTGGTTGTGCCTGCAGATCCTCTATGGGTAGAGGAGTGTCAAAAGGACCCAAGAGCTCAGGCAAAGCAGTTCCAAGGCAGGATATTTTAACATATTGTAATTAGGAAACATTGATTAGCCGTTCAAAAAGGAAACAAAAGAACTTGAATTTTACCAGTTATACTTTTTTCCTGGTTCAAGGCACCACTCACCTTTGCTTGATAGTGTCTTACCTTGGTGGGGAATGTTTCCCTTTACCCTTCCTGGGCAAAGTCCTGAGTCCAATTCAGTAGCATTAATATGCACTTACTGTAGGTCTCCATCACATTAAGGTTGGGGTCCCCAGACCTTGTTTGCTACCTGGTGCAGCTGCTCCAATTGCACTGCCAACATTCCCTCTTTGTTGTAGAGGGGTAGCTCAGAGTAGCTACTGGCTGTTGACCCTGACACCTCTGGACCAGTTGACCAAGTCATGGAGGACTTTCTTCACGAGCTCCAGATGGGGCTATTCTGGTGTCTCTGCCCAGTCCTTGCCCTGTTCCTCCACCATGCCTCCCTCTTCTGTCCAGTGGTTAGGGTTTGCCTAGATTCCTTTTCCAGGCCTTTTATAACCTCCACTTTGGCCTCCCCTCATTACCAGTGGTCTTTGTCTCCTGAACCTTGCTTAGGTGACTTCCATTAGCAGGGAGCCATTCTTCTGGAACACCTGCTTCTCTGGTGTGAGAGATGGGTCTGTTCTTGTGGAGGATAAGAAAAGGGTGGCCCCTTTCTCCTTGGGCAGTGCCCCAGATTCCAATAACAGGGTGTCACGGCCCAGGACAGAGATGTCATGGAAGGCATGGGGATCAGCTTCTCTTCTAGCTTGTTGCTACACTGGTGGACAAGGGATTGCACTGCAGGTTTTCTTTTGCAATAGTGGTTCCCAACCTTGGGTCCCCAGATGTTCTCGGACTACAACTCTCAGAAGCCTTCACCACTATCTGTGCTGGCCAGGATTTCTGGAGCTGTCATCCAAGAACATTTGGAGACCCAAGGTTGTGAGCCACACTGCACAGGCTTGAGTTTACAAGAGCTGAGCATAGCTGCTGAGGACAGGACATTTTGGAAATAACTCATTTATAGGGTCGGTCACCATAAGTCGGAAGCAACTGGACAACATTTAACAGCAACAAAGTATCTGTCCTGGAGGATGCTGAAGGAAATTGAGAGCCCTCATAACATTCTACAGGGTTATTGCTTCCAAACCCTCAGTGCGTATTGTGGGAGAGAGGGGGGCTTAGTTCTCCCCTGCATGCCTGTAAATTTGGACAAGCACAAGACCCAGAAGATGACCCAGGAACAAACCTTATTATGTTTGAGGTGAAAGGGGGGGGGGACCTGTTAATTTCCTTTCAGTGCCTGAAGTCCAGCCATATAATTTGTGCAATGACTTTTCAGAAATTTTAAAAAAATCTGATTCTTCCTCCCCTCCCCCTGCCAGAAGGGAGAGGGGAGCTCCCTTGGGCTCCCATTTCATCATATGGGAGATGTTGGGGACTGTGGAATGAGGGAGAGAAAGTCTAATTTCAAAAAAAAATCTGTGCTTTTACTTGCTCCAGAGAGTTTGCCAGTCCCCTAGAGGAGATTCTTTAGGTTTTTAAGGTCATGGGGGAATAATATACAGTAGTATATTTGAAGGAAAATAGTTAATTAATACGGTAATTTAGTTATCTTTTCACACTTAATTTTCCTACCCATCTTTCAAAGAGGAAAGGGGTGGCACATATGGGTCATCCTGCCCGATCCTCAAAGCAGACTTGTGAGGTAAGCTTGACTGGCATATAGTGATACCTTCCTTTTCATTGTGGAGTTTTTGTGTCTTTAGGAAATGCAAGTTCATGTCTTCCACTTCTTTGTCATTGCTCAGCATAGGCTAACTAAAATTGTTTATGGCATCCTAAAGAGGAAACATATACCATATTTTTCGCTCCATAAGATGCACCTTTCCATAAGACGTACCAATTTTTTAGGAGAAGAAAACAGGAAAATATAATCTGTTTTCTTCGCTCCATAAGACGCACAAACTTTCCACCCCCCTGTTTTTTGGGGGGAAAGTGCGTCTTATGGTGCGAAAAATACGGTGTGTGACGGTATCTGTTTTTGTGAACTGTGTGCAAGATGCTGCTTTTCCAGAAAGGAAACTTAACTCTCTGGAAGTTTCCCTTATTAGACAGCTCTCAGCTTATGGGTGCATCAATTCAAGGTGATGTTATGAAAGTTCAGCTGTGAAGCTGTTAAGAAGGCTCTGCTAAGGTCTTAGACATGATGGCCCATCCCCATATTTGAAGCATATGCTCATGGATGTGCGAACTAGCTTAGCTCTATTCAGATATTATGGAAATAATCTAAACTTGTACTGGCAGGAGTGCTGCTGCCATCACTCTCCATATGTAGAGGATCACTTTGTAAAGAGCGGAGCTTCCTCTCTCCTTGAAGTGTTTCCATATGATGAATGCTGAGAGTTCCCTTCAGGCTGGTTCCTGCTGGGACTTGCTGCAGGTGTGTTCTGATTCTTTTTTCCCCCCCTATCTGAGCAGGAAAACACCCTAATCATCTAATAATGGTATTTAACTCAACATGGGTATTTATTTATTTATTTAAATTCTTACCCCCGCTATCTAGTGAACAGGCCACTCCTTTGGGCAGCTTACAATACACAAACATGGAAGAAAACTACATTAATAATCAAATTAAGATAACAAACAGGGAAAAACCAACCTCTTTAAAAATAACTAATATTCATTCATTCATTCATTCATTCATTCATTCATTCATTCATTCATTCCTTCATTCATTCATTCAACTTATCTGCTGCCTACTCTAACCAAAGGTCTCTGGGCAGCTTACAACAATTAAAACACAATAAAAATACCATAAAAAGATAAAATATTAAAGATGGCGGCCAGACAGAGACAGTTAATTCCAAAATTAATGGAATATCAATAAATCACACAGTTGGCTATTTCTGAGTGTGTACAGAAATCATCTAAACATCAAGGATCGTCTCTTACTTCACACTGGACTGACTTGCAACTCTGTTCTCTCTAATTCCAGACATCTGAGTTCTCAGGAGGGGCTGCGAAGAGATGTCAACGTGGAAAAATCCTGCTCGTTTTCTCGCTGCTGCTCAGTGCTGTTGTTGGCCTTGTGCTACTCATTGTCTTCACCACACGCCGCATAGGTACAAGAAGGTTGCTTCTCTTCAGCTTCCCATTTGAAGGTCCTCCCCTTCTCATTTGTTTTCCCCCTTTCAGCCATGGGCCACTAGAAATATGGAAGTTCTCCAGGATAAAGTGGAACTCTGCACCTATTCCAGCCAATTTTTGAAATATTAGATCAAGCTACAAATAAGTTGATGATCAAATAGTGCTTTGGAACAGGGGTAGAAACTACTTTCACTCCAAGAGCTGAAGTGGGCACCAGAGGCCATAAGGGATGGTGCAGTCAGCCATGTGAGTAAGGCCAAGGCAAATTGTAGTCCTCCCCCTCCCCCAATTGGGCACACAGGCACATTCTCTGTCCCTCATGTGTGTGCATGCGCACACAGAGTATGCTTGCCCATATCCCAGCTCCTCAAGGGGAAAATGAGGCAGAGAGGGCATTTACCCTACCCAGTTAAAGGTGGACAAAAGATTCACCCAAGCTCTGTCTTAGTTTCTCTGTATGTCGACTGCCTAGGCAGAGAGGGCATTTAGTTTTAAAATGCAAATAGTTTTAAAATGTCCTTATAAGCACATCCACTAAGAGTCCCAATGTCAGAGAGGTTTGTTATGTGGTTGTTCTGATTTATGCACTTCCCCATAGTGCTATAGCATTCCCCGGGTGGCTAATTATGCAAAAACTACTTTGCCCCCCCCAACAAGCTGGGTATTAATTTTACTGACCTTGGAAGGATAGAAAGCTAAATTTACTGACCTTGGAAGGATGGAAAGCTAAATCAGCTTTGAGCTGGCTGCCTGAATCTGTTAGGATCGAACTCAGGTCATGAGTGGGCACTTGACTGCAGTTTAACCACAGTGCCATGGGGTATACCCCCATGCAAGCCCATCACACTTTTAGCCAATCTGGAGCAGACTCATGGTCTGCATAAAGCTGTAACCTGGGGTTAATGTGACAACAAAGGAACTCTCCCACACCTGCAATGTTTAATGGGGGTGTGTAGAGAGTTGTAGAGGCAGCAGAGATGCAACAAGGCATTTATTGACTCAGAGAATTTAGGAAGGGGGAAAGTCATCACCTCTGGCCACACCTCTGTAGCACAACTCCCTCCGTTCTAGCTAGCCCTATATGGAGAGTGGACGGATTCAGCCCTTTTTTCCATCTTACCAGGTAGCTAGAGAGGATTGTGCTGCGTGATTTGGGGACTTATCCTACTTCTCTGCAGCTCAGTTTTCGTGGGCTTTCGGCTAATAATCCCACTCTGCCGATTCTCTCTGTCCTCCACTCTCTTCCTTTTCCTACTTCAGTTGCCTGATTGTCCCAAGATGTAGTTTGGATCATTCATGGAACGATCCTCTTTTAAGGAGAGGGTGTCCTTATGCAGAACAGTTTACACACCCCACTCAAAGATAGAGGCACCACCTCTCCGTAGGCCTTGGACTTCTTGTTAGGAAATGCAGCCAGAGGGAAACTGTTGGAAGAATGTCATCTGCTTTGAATGTGGAAGCCTTTGGGGGGGAAAGGGTTAGGGAGAAAAATGGAAAAATCCTTGGTTACTTCATAATTTAAGTGAGATAATCTACTTGACAGAAATGTTGATGAAATGTCTCCCTGTCTTCACCAAGGGTCAGTATAATATTGGTGCATTTTTTTTCAGTGGGGGGAAATATTTTTGGGAAATCAAAGGAAGAGGCAGAACAGCAGTCCACTGTTATTTCTGTGCTGCCATTAACTGCCTCCTTTCCCTTATATATTTTTTATTTTAGATTCAAGTAATTGTTATCGCAGTGGCCCAAGCAGAAACCCCAAATATGATTTATAGCACACTTGTACTTGATTTAAAGAATTCCACTTGCTTCTATTGTTAGAGGTTTCACAAAGTTTCACATGAATCCCAGTGTGGAAGAGTGTGGAGGACGTAGAAAATCATCAGAGAGGGATTATTAGCAGAGAGCACATGTGGTCAGCTGTAATCATTCTAAAGGTGGCCAATAGCTCAACAAAACCAAGATTTGTGCTGTGTTTCTGGGTGATGTCTTTTTTTAAATGGTGCTTTTTCTGAGGTGCCAATGTTGTATACCCCCTGTTCATGGTTGTCTTGCATTTTTTCCCTAGAAACCTGCAATACACCAGCTTGCCTTTTGCTCCTGACAAGATTGCAACAGGCCCACAACAATGCCATAGATCCTTGTGAGGATTTCTACAGTTACACCTGTGGCAACTGGGAAGCTAACAACACACAGGGGATGAATATGCCAGCGCTCAATATATTTGATGTACTCTTGGAGGAAAACCAGCTGATCATGAAGAGGCTGATAGGTAGGGGGAAAAGGGAGATGGTTATTGTTTTGCCAGGCCTTCTAGACACTGATCAGGGAGGAAAACATATTTGTGCAAGACTGTCATTTGTCATGCCATTGCTAAGGCATTATCGTCTATCAATTGAAATGTATCCTGCCATCCTGTCTTAAGAAGTGGAATAATGTCCACAGCATCCTGTCTGGAAGCATACATCCAAAGTTACAGAAATCACAACGTGCATCCAAAGCATTTCAAGTTTAACTCTGATCTTAATTTTTAGTGTAGTGACATCACCACTAGGTAATGCTTTCCTTTTGCTTTAATGGGATGAGCCTTTCTTTTGAGTGTGTCCAAGTGAGGTGTGGGGAGAGTTTGCTCTTTTGTTAAGTGTGAACTCTTGTAACTGCAGTGGAACATCTCACTTCTTTGTTAACCTTCCTTTTCTTCTTCCTGAAGGGAGCAGGTGGGCAGGGGCTGGCAGGTGATCCAGGCTCCTCCTCTTGCCTGTGCCAAGGCTCCTCTTCCTCCTCTCCATTCCCATTTCTCCCTTCTTTCTGGTAATACGCAATTTATTCCAACGGAGGGGCTTAAATATGCCAAACTAATTGAAATATAATTCAGTTTGGCATGTGATTTAAAATATATGACCCTCTGGCAGAGGAGTATTTTGCCTCACCTTCCAGCCAAAACAACAACAAACTTTCCCAGGCAAAAAAAATCCATGCTACCATTTCCGTCATGGACATACCTTGTTTTATATTGATTTTATTTGTCTTAGTCCAAATCAACAGTAGTTCTAATTGGCAGTATAATCATGCCTTTATTCTCTCGAGAATTTCTTCAAAGCCCTCCAGTCACTTCCTCTCCTCCTTCAGACCCATTCTCCACACATCCTGCTTTCAGCTTTCTTTTTTCCTGTACTGTTCCATACTCTAAAACCTTACTCGCCCTTCCTTGTCTTTGGAGGTCTTGTCACGGTCATACTTTAGCTAACCTATATCCTGGGAAATCTTCCCACTCCTTGTCCTCTGAGTGAAAATTTAAATCCCACTTAAACTGATTTCCCTTAGCCACCAATGTTGGACTAAAAGGTTTTTATTGTCTTCTGAGGAGTTGGACTTGTCAAAACACAACACATCAATATACCCAATCAATGTAAGAGATTTATCTCCATAATCATATGTAGTGATAACGAACAATTTGTCATGCCAGAATGGTTTTTTGAACTTCAGTAGGTCTCTGTGACACATTTTGTTTACTCTTATTCATGCCATGTCTATCCCCATTCAAAAGAAAGGTTCACCATCATATTGGATGATAAGTATGAGAATCATATCTATGTTTCTGCTTTCACGATAACATGAATGAAGTCCTCTCCCTGTGTCCAGACTTCCTAAATAGTGCCGATCAATAGAAGACTCCTGGATCCAGACAAGAGGACCTGTGCGTGCTAATATGCCCTGTGATGCTCCTCTGGTCCTTATTTGAGCAGAATGAATGTGTCTATGAAGGTCCCTATTTTGGGTCATGGGCTGCATGCAATGAAATAGGACAAAGGGATGGATCAGGGAGAGGAGGAACCTTCCTCTAATATCAGTTCTGTCCCTCGATCAGATTTGCGGTATTGTTATGTCACTATGCATTTTATCTTCCGCCTTCTCCAAGTTACTTTGCTCTGTGATGTGGACAGTGTTGTAACTTTTCCACCATTTTATATGTTACCTGCCTTCTCTTCCTCAGAAGAGCCACAGCTTGGGGTTAACAGCTCAGCAAAGGAGAAAGCTGTACGGTTTTATACCTCTTGCATGAATACAGAACAAATTGAAGCTCGAGGTTCTCAGCCTTTGAAGGAGCTCATAAATGAGGTGACTGCTGTACATCAATGTGTGTGTGCTCCCATACATGCACAGGCATGCCCTATTCTAGGTAGACCCATTTGATTCATATCAGCATCCACATTGTAGAATATAACAAGATGTGGTCATTAATTTATGATCAGTGGCACTAAGTGACCCTAAGATCACTCTGGTGAAATGATTTGTTTGACAGGTCATTGTATCTCCATTTCTTGTGGCCAGGTAGCCATCAAGCATTGAGGTTTCATACAGCATGCCCATTATCTTTTGTCATTTCTTCCTGTTTGGAATTGAGGCTAGAACATACTGCATATGTTTTGTATCTGCTTAAATCTATCACTTGTCTCTTTCTCCCTTTTCATCCCTTCCCCTCTACTGAAATAGAGACTGCAAGACATTGGGGGGCAAAAACCTATAACTTGTTTGGCTTCCTTTCATCTTTAAAGTATTGTACTATATTGCTGCTGTTGTTGTAATGATATTTTTTTCTCTACAACTGATAAAACAAACTTAATTTTTATGTTTCAGCTTTCCCTGACTTTCAAATATAGACAGATGTTATTGGGGGGGATTGAAAGTTTCACTTTTTAAAAGTTCTTTGAGCTTGCTTTGTCTAATACCTACTCCAGGGCTGATCGAGCAGCTGTCCCAATCCTTCTCATATTAAAAAGATGAAACACCTTTTAAAACCTGGGGGCTGAGGGAGATCGGAGAGGGATAAACTGTGGCATAGAAAAGCACTGTGTTATGTCTTGCCACTCCTCTGTTCGAAATAGCTCCCTCTCGAAATGGTTTTTCTTTTTCAAAAAAAGAAATAGCATCAGCATTGAGGCTCCATTGCACGCACTTGCTCATTATACACATTAAGAACTTAACGCATTGGATTCACGAAGTATTCATTTTTTGTTTGCATCCAAAAATTATCCCACGTCTGCTAAACACATTCATGATAATGGAGATGGCACTTCAGAGTGAAGATAAATATCTGTCCTGGGGTATGGAAAATAATGTTCTTTGAGAGCTTAGTAATTTAGGAATTTCCTTCCTGTTTCTGCCACACAGTGCAATATGTTCTTCTCATGTTCTCTTAATCTTTTACTCTTCTTTATAGTCCTTAGTATGGTACTACGAAGTTTAGTGTGAAAATTCCTGCTCTGTGGTGTACCATATTTGCCGGCGTACAAGATGACTTTTTGGCCCTGAAAAACATGCCTCTCAAAATGGCTGCCGCCTCTCCAAAATGGCTGCCGCTTCTCTGCTGTTCCAGCAAACCCTGGCTCTGTCCAAAAAGGAACCAAAAGGAGCAAAAGGAACTCTCCCCATGATGCAGCCAAAGCAGAATCACGCATGCGGAAGAGGGGGTAGTCTTATACAGCAAGTATATAACAAACTCTACATTCTGAGTGAGAATGTTGGGGGTGGTCTTATACGCCCAGTCGCCTTATACACCGGCAAATACGGTAAATCTTTTTCCAGACTCCTTTCTAAGATTTTCACCCATGAGTGCTCACTTCTAGATGACTGAAGCATCAAATGGTGACTTACCTTCAAGGATGATCACACATCTACCATTAAGAAATTTCATAGTACCTTATGTCACCTCATAATTTTTTATTAGGGTTACATTCAGCTGCTGCCAAGCATCCAGTGGAGAGCAGTTAGAAAAATCCAGTGATGTACATGCACATATAAACGACTTCATAGAAACAAATTTTCAATTGTCACATGAATTTATTATAATCTCCATTTGAGATCTAGTTGCACATTAACATGGACACATAGTAAACACAGTAAACACAGTTGATAGGGAGGCAGAAATGCATGTACATTTCCTGCAATTTGTAGCATTAATGGGTTTGCATTTGTTGATTTGCATGCAGATGTGTATTGTAACCCATCCTCCTCCAATCATATTTCCATGTCTGCATCTTCTTTACCTGCTTGGAGATATAGATACTTAGAGGCAGGATACAGAGAGAAGTACAAGTAATGTCTTATTCCACCATCTCAATGCAGTGATGCTAAAGGGTAGGCAAAGACAGAACAAGAGTCCCACCTAAACCATCAGAAGTAGAGAAGGGGATGATGACTCACCATTTTGGCAAGTCTTCCTGCTTCGTGAGTCATCAAAAGTTGACAAAAAAGGCAGAATGGAAAAGCCACAGGATGGCTTTTTTAAAAAATTGTATGGGGATGAATAAAAATGGGGAAATAGTCATTGATCTGTATTCATCGGGACTTAAAATTTGATGAATATGGATCGACGAATATACAACGAATTGGCTATATTTGTCGAAAAAATGACCCGTTTTTATATTCGTCTCCATCTCTAATCAGGAGGCATGTTCTTCGAGCATAGCAACTTGTGTTAATGTAGTACAGTACCATGGTGTTCTACAAATGAATCATCATGATCCAGTGTACCAGGTTCCATGAGTGATGGGCTTTTGCTCAACATACCCTGGCCTTGCAGATCCTCAGTTTGCATTTCGCTTTTGTAGATACACCCCATTGCTGCTGCAAATCCGTATGGGTTCAAGTCCTGATAATTTTTGCAGATCCTCAGTTTGCATTTCGCTTTTTTGGGGGGGTCCAGGTCCTGCTAATTATGGACTAAAACTCTCATAAGCCACAGCCAGCAGGGACAATGGTCAGTGATCGTGGAAGTTTTATTCCAAAACTACATCTGAAGTGTACCAGGCTCCTTACCCCCCTTGTTTGTGTTTTGTGTCTTAAAGCACATTAAACTGAAGATGAGCTTGAGTTTTGCTAACATTTTTGACTGTTGTGAAAAGTACTTTTTTCATTGGCAGGAGTATGATTAGGTAGCATTTTTTACAAGAGAGCTCTTGCCAAGCTAATGGATGCATTATCTCAATCCATTTTGAAAACTGAATGGTAGAAGATGAAATTAGATATAATTCCAATTGTAGCTAAAATAGGGTTAGAGGGGCTTTTCAGATAACATTTCATGCTTTCTCCCTGAAAGTGCACCTTCGACTTTGAACATATATAATGAAAATAAAACAAAAATTAAAAACTGAAAACAAGTATTGTGGTATCTTAAAGGCTAACAGATTTATTTTGTTGACTAAAATTCTGTTGTGTAGATGCACTGGTGGAAGGGCAATGAAGTAAATTTCAGCAGCAAATTGCTGCTAATTAATGATTGCCCACTTGGACTCCTCACTGTGTACAAGTCACATGCCTTGACATGTAACCAGGAGCTGAAATGGGGACTCATTACTGGCAATTTGCTCCATTGTCCTTCTGCCAGCGTAATTATAGAAAAGGACCTTGATGTTGTGAGTTTTTGTGGATTCTAATCCATTTTGTGAAGCACGAAGAGTGAAATAAGGTGCCACTGTTTTTTTTTTAAAAAAAATTGTTATACATGATGAAATAGAATTAACATGGCTGGCTCTGAAAATGAAATTCCACATAGATAATATCCATGGCCCAAAATTTTGTATACCGTTATTTCACATAAATCATCTTTTTCTCTCAGTGTCTTCCTTCTAAGCATTATCACACTTTGAAAATCCTGCAGGATTCTGTATGTGCTGTCATTCATCCTGATGACAACCTAGTAAAGTACATCACTTTTCTTTTGCCATATTACTAGCTCAGCTGGAGTCTGAATTTGTGGCTTCTTTAAGGAATGCCTAAAGGCCAAGTGAAAAAAAAAACCAAATTGTTTTTTAAAAGTTAAAAGCAGAGAAGGGAGCTTCATTGGAGCAACAGGAAGAGATGACATAAATTTTCCTCCTCTGCCACAATCCTTATGACTCCACTTCCATCCTGCTGCTACTATTATTGTTATCTCCAGTTTAGGCACTTTCTTCTGGAGCAGATAGCAGCCAGAGTGTAGATTTGCACTGAGAACATAATGAAATGGGTTACTTCTCCTGGGTCCATATCTACTCTTATTATCCTTTTTAGTTCGTAGACGTGCTAAGTTATATCTCAAACATGACCCTCAGTGAGGTCATGGTTCATAAGATTTCACTGAGGCATTTCCTAGCTCAAAATGCATGCGATGATACTATTATTGTTCTCAGGGATGATGGTCAGGTCTTTCTCATTTCATCTTTCCCCAGATTGGTGGCTGGAATATCACAGGCTCCTGGAAGGAGACGGATTTTAATGAGACACTTCAGATCCTCATGGAAAGATACAACACTTTTCCTTTCTTCAAAGCCTACATTGGGCCCAGTTCCTCTGATCCAAGCACCAATATTATCCAGGTAGGAACACTGAGAATATACTGCTAGAACAGAGGGCCTCGCCTGTCCATGGAGCAGTGACTCAGAGAGGAAGAAGAACAATGTGCAGGAACAGGCAGCCAGGCAGAATATAGTGTTAATCCTACGGTCAGTTAAAACAAACACTAGTGCTGTAATATATTTTCTACAAATATTTCTAACTTGAGAACAAGTTGCAGGGAGACTTCTCAGATGAGTCAAGCAGTGCCCTTCTTGCTTGCAGAAATCCAGGAAGATAGACAGTTTACTTCAGGTAGAAGCCTCCTGCACTGTATGTTTGTTTCTATCTCATATAACTGGTCAATCAGACTCCCAAAGCAGCTTATACCAAACAACTAGTAGGTACAATTAAAAAGACCAGTGTGCGCTAACACTGCCGATGGGGCAGCCAGCAGTGGTAGACAATGAATGACTGGCATGGACAAAATCCCCGATCTCACAGGCAGCATTGACTTGGGTCCCCGAACTGTGGCCTGTGAACCCTAGTGAGTCATGAGGCAGCTGTGGAGGCTGAAGGAAAGGGTGCAAGCAGCAAAGGTCAGTTGATGGAGTGCTCTTTTGAGCTAAGCTGTCTCTTGAGAGAGGAACATAAATTGCAGAAGCTAGAGACAGGAGACTGAAGGTAGAGGAGAGATGGAAGGAGTGACTGAACATTCAGATGGACAGCATGGAAGAAAGGAGAATGGACTGGGTAGTGTGTGTTTGGATCGGGTGAAAGGGACACGATAGGACATGCAGAAGATACTTGGGATGGGAAGACGGACTTTTGCAGAGGTATGTCTTTCTATGTGCCTTGTTTGCTTTGAAGGTTTACTAAGGGCACATCTACACTAGCCCTTTTGTTGTGACCTGGTGCAGTCTAAATAGAGTTGCTTGAGCCTGAGGGGAGGAGCAATATGCCATTTGGCATGACCCTTGTATCCAAATGGCACATTGACCTCTAGCAACTCTCCAGCTCCTTCTGCTGTCAGTTGAACACTTCCCCTGTTCCCTTGCTGAGGGGCAAGGGAAATGAAGTTATCGTTTTTGCTTGGGCTTCACTTATATTAATTTTTTTTATTTGCCATGTGTTTTGTGCCAATCGAGAAACTGCCTGCAACTCTGGTTTTGACTGGCACGTCGTTCGTAGACAAAGATTTTTTAAAAATTAAATCTAAGCAATTCAGTGCATCAGTGATGGTCTAGTAGACTCTCTATCTATCTCTCCCCATCTTCTGCCCCTCTGCAATTCAATTTGCCAATATCCTAAAGCAACTCATTTATTAAGCCACTTCATATTACTGGAGATTCAAACCAGAAGGAGCTGGTTTACAGCTGCAAGGCTTGATTTTTGTCCATGCCCAATGATTGCACATGCTGAGAATGGACTAAACTAGAGTGCACTAACCCACACCAAAAAAGCAGAAGGCTCATAAATGTGCAAGATGGGGTGCCTAGGGGGCAAACTGGACCACTCATTTGGAAGTTGAGTCATGACAACTGTCCTTCTTTCTTGTTAGGTTGAAATGTTTCGCTACTCATCCAGGCAGCTCCTTCTGATGGATGAGTAGCGAAACATTTCAGCCTAACAAGAAAGAAGTCTATTTGCCATGACTCAACTTCCAGATAACCATGCCTGGATGACTGAAGATCTTCACAGATATCTGGACCACTCCTTATGTGGTTGCAGAAAAAAGAGCGAGACAATCCACCCTGTGCAGTGCACCAAATAGGGGGACAAGTGCCCATGTGAACTAGCCGTAAGCTGTGCTCTCTTCTGGTCCTCTGTCTTCTTGGTTACTGGCTAATTGTAAAATGCATTCAGCCTGCATATTATTTCAGAGAAGACATTCTCTCTCATACAAATCCCACTGCTTTTAACAAAAGGAAAAAGTGGATATCTGTGCAGCATACCAGTGTTCCTAATCTGATCTGTCCTTACCTGGTTGCTGTAGCAGCAGAATTTTCCTTGTGTTTTAGTTCTAGTTTCCTGACCTTAACTAACCCACTACTAACACAACATAACAATTCCTGGAATTATCTTTGATTTCATTCAAAGTACTGCCTGTAAAAAAACAGGAAACAAGAACTGATGTGACTATGGTGTGTGGCTTCCAGAAACATTGCCAAGGCATCTTCCCTCCCTTTCCCACATGGAAATGAAATAACATTCCCTCTGCCTTTCCTTGATGTGAAATAGGAACCCACAGACTTGCTACTGCTTTGTAAAGAAGGTGGGAAGGAAATAGCCTGTGGTATGATAATCCTATGCTTGTTTGCACAGGATACAGAAACAACGCACTCCCAATACAGTCCCAACCGTGTGTTTGTTCAATGTAGTCAGTGAAATGCACTCTCAAGATTTAATCCGAGTGTACATAGGATTGCGGCCAGAAGACAGAATTATCAGGTGAACAACAAGTCAAGCAGCAGGTCAAGCTATGAGACCTGGAGTGTATCTACACCACCTAATTATATTAGTTTGCTACCAATTCTAACTGTTACGGCCACCTCCTACAGAATCTTCCTACAAAGAAAGGGAGGCAGTCATTGTGTTGGCAAGCATGGTTGTTATATTCACATTGTTTACTCTGGAGCGGCAAGTGCTCTAGCAGGATTTTGCAGATGTTTACAGAAAAGAGAATACAGTATAACAGTCAGTTTCTAACATGTAGAGGGTTGGAAAGAAAGACATACAATAATCTTCTAAAGGCAAGAGACTTATTGGAGAGCAAACTATAGTGAAAAGAGAGAGGTTGTCAGACACAGCTGTGAGACATCAAAAATTAGGGTGGCCACTAATTTCTTAGAAAGAGGAGAAAAAATGCATAAAATATGCATGGGCTACTTTAAATTAATATGCACAAATGCACATGCAAGACTTTATCAGTAGGTATTAAGTGTCTATGTAGAAATACAAGGCAATTCTCCGTATTACGAATGACCAAGGAGTGCATCTGCTACCAGCTTCAACTGGCAGAGCTCTGTTCTGTGACATCTTGGGTGGAGTTTGCCTTTTGATGAAATGTTAAAATTCTTTGCTAGAGGGTGCAAGAGCCCATGGGTGACTGAGGTGTTCTCTAGCCCAAAATGCTGGGTACCTCCATACACTATAAAACCAGGATTCCATGTGGAGACGTCTTTTAGTGTATATAGATGTGAGTAAGTGATTTATATCCGTGCTCTGTCTTAAGTGCCTGTTGTCCGGAATTGTCTCGAGCTGCTGGTTCTCTCTTGTAATGGTAAAGGTAAAGGTTCCCCTTGACAATTTTTGTCCAGTCGTGTTCGACTCTAGTGTGGCAGAGCTCTGTTCTGTGACATCTTGGGTGGAGTTTGCCTTTTGATGAAATGTTAAAATTCTTTGCTAGAGGGTGCAAGAGCCCATGGGTGACTGAGGTGTTCTCTAGCCCAGAATGCTGGGTACCTCAATACACTATAAAACCAGGATTCCATGTGGAGACGTGTAAATGTAGTGTATATAGACGTGAGTAAGTGATGTACAGTATGTCCGTGCTGTGTCTTAAGTGCCTGTTGTCCGGAATTGTCTCGAGCTGCTGGTTCTCTCTTGTAATGATTACTCTAATAATCTAAGGCAGTGGTTCCCAACCTTAGGTCCCCAGATGTTCTTGGACTGCCGCTCACAGAAGCCTTCACCACTAGCTGTGCTGGTAAGGGCTTCTAGGAGTTTCAATCCAAGAACACCTGGGTTACCCAGGATTGGGGAACCATTGATTTACTCACCCTAAAATAATCTAAGGCAGTGGTTCCCAACCTTAGGTCCCCAGATGTTCTTGGACTGCCACTCACAGAAGCCTTCACCACTAGCTGTGCTGGTAAGGGCTTCTAGGAGTTGCAATCCAAGAACACCTGGGTTACCCAGGATTGGGAACTAGTGATTAAGTACTCACCCTAGTCACCTACTATCTTTAATTCGCCCCAAACAACCTTCAAGTTGCTCTTGTACATCTTTACCAATATACTCTGCATTTATGACCAAATAAGGAATGCATATTAAAATTCTCATTCCCATTGAATTTTGCTTCTTGCAAGCCCAGGAGTTCTTGCTGAGAGAATCTGAATTCTTGTGACATTCCTTGGCTGGAAGTTGAGATTGAGACAGCCTGTCTCCTCCAACACCCCCAATTAGCTTCAATATTCTCTGCAAGAAAACCACGCACCATTGCAAAAAATACCAGGTTTCCACTACTAATTTTGAAACTTTTTTTTCAACACCAAGCAGCACTTGGGGATCTAAGTATTTAGGGATGCAGATCCCTGCTTGTTTCCTCTCCCAAAGAATTTCAAAAATTTTCTCCATGCCCTGCCACAGGGAAGATTTTTTTAAAAACATCAATCAGCAATTATAATGTAAAATGAGGTATTTTGCACAACTCACAAGTAGCTGCTGCCTTATTGTGTGGATGTTTGAGAATCAGAAGCATCCGTGGCTTCTTTACCCTTTTAAATATTGATCAGTCCATCTGTACTTGCTGTATGTTTGTGCTTTGCTTATCGCAGGGCGTGTTTACACTCTTGTTTTTTTTATCAATTTAATTTCCAGTGTATTATAAATCAAGTGTGAGTAATGTGGGCTTAAGTTGCCGTGTATTTTTACATTTCTTCCTTTAAGACAATTGATGAAGAGAGTTTCAGTGGTGCGTGTGTGTGTGCGCGCGCGCACGTATGTGCGTATGTGTGTGTGTGTGTGCGCGCGCGCGCACGTATGTGCGTACGTGTTTCATCCTTAAGGCAGAGCAACTAGCACAATAAAGGACAGTGGGTACCTGGAGCGAAAGAGTCCTTAAGCATTCCTTCTCTCTTTATTGCTGTGGCGGCTGCTTAAGAATGAAGTATGCACGCACATACCCTGGGGTGAAACATTCCAGCTCTGGTCTTTTTGCCTAGAAGCAGTGGTTGTGCAGGTTCTCCTAAAAGCACTGCCCTGCTTTGGCCCTGGACAAGACGGGGCCCAAATAGGATTAAAAAAGAAAAAGTAGGGAGTGTAAGAAATGACCTACTGGGTGGGTGCTTTGAAAAAAACCCTTCATAGAAAACGCTGCTCACTCATTCACATATACAGAATTGATTCATTGGAATCTGCCTCAAAATAAAGAGACTTGGCAGAGGAGTAAAACAATTTGTTCGCCTAATACATTACTCCGTGCGTGCACGTATCTCATGTGTATGTGCCAATAAAGGTTTATGTATGTATGTGTGAATAAAAAGCAGAACCTGGAACAACAGTGGGGTCAAGCTCAAAGAGAAAGGAGACTGGATTTATGCAGATACTGAATGGACACTTCACACAAGTGATGCATGTTGAACAGATTCCATAAATTAGTCAAAACTGCACGCTCTGTGGTCTTGTGGCTTGATTGTTTTTGATAGTCAGCCAGTCCTTCCGTGATTGCTCTTTACGGGCGTTGCTTTTAAGGGGGAAAGACTACTAGCTATACAGGCTCCTACAGAAGTATTGTGCACAAGTTGTAGAAATCTTGATGAAGAAGCACTCAGTGTATTCCTCTCAGTCTGGAGGCTGGAATTTAGCAAGTATTATTCACAGCTGTACCGGGCATGTTGTGTGATAGCTAACCAGCACCGGAGGCAGAAACAAGCAACAGACCAACCAACTTAGTGCTGCCAGCCTGTCTGCAGCTGCTATTTTTGTCTGTTGGTGGTGCCTGCCTGCTTTTTCTAAACAGCCTCCCCGAACCCACTTCATATATGATTGTGTTTTGCACAACAAATAGACACATCCTGCAGTTTTTACACAAGAGGTTGTGCAAAATATGAGCAAAATCCTGCACAGCTTCCCAAAGTTTTTAAAAACAATCTCTTAGTGATAAATCTTGTTGTAAGAAGGCAGAACAACTTTTTCACTTGCCTGCCAAGAGTGCATTGTAAGAAGATTTAAAACTCCATCTTATTTAATCTCATTCTGATTTACAAATCAGAAGAAAAAAGAGGGAGAAAGATCTCATCCGAGTCTGTTTCTGTGAGTTCAGTACTGTATTCGCAGAACAGGGATGACAATTTCGATTTGGACAGGACCTCGGGGATCAAATTGCAGAAATAAGCAAAGCCAAGATTATGGGGTGGAGACCGTAAAGTGGGCAATGCCATATGATTTCTTATCTTTCAAATGCTTTTGCAATAGATATACAAAGCATAGATCATTTTTATATCTTGTATAAACAAGCTCCAGTGTCAGAACTTCCCAGGTAACAAATCAGGGCTTACTTCCACACCTGTCTACTCTATGGTAAGCCCTAATGCAGTGCCTTTCTGGGCTATAAACCAAAGCTCAGATGCTTGCAAAGTTATTGACAGTTACCGACTGGAATTGCCTCTTGTTTGGAGATAATAGCGAAAGATTGGAGATAACAGCAAAAGATTGGAGATAATAGTAAAAGAAACTAAAGACCAACGGGGAACTTCTAGGATGCATACTGTTGGCTGGGTTAGGGTTCCTCGGCTATAGAGGTTTCCTATCCATAATAAGCAGCTAAGTGGTCACCACAGGTCTTCCTTAGCACATTTTCCTCATTGCACATGTCAGCACACATTTCCCAATCATTGCTGTCTTTCGTTATCCCACCTCTAATGTTGCTAGAATTCAGTCTTCCTGTTTCTTCCTTTCTTAGATCGACCATCCAGAGTTTGAGTTGCCACCAGAAACACACTTCAAGACCACAAGGAATTATCCCCAGGTAAGATATCAACTTGTGTGTGAAAGAGTCCATCGATCCACTGGTTTTAAGTAAACTTCCCCCCTAGGTGTCTTCTACTGCTTACTTGGTGTTGTATGGATCTGAAATAACCATTGGCTATTTTTTCGAACAAACTAAGCACACTTGATGAGAAATCAAATGATAGGTATGCATGGGCAAACTAACCTTATGTAGCAATTCTGCCCATTTTGAGCCTCTGTGTATAAATTTATATCTGACTATGTACTGTATATCAAGTGTGTATATAAACAGTTTTGGGTGCCTGGGTTGTGGATGGTCATGGGCAGAGCGCTGGGGTAATACGGGGTTGAGTACCTGAATGTTACTGGTTAATGTGATTGGAAAGTTATGGAAGGGTGGTTTGGAGGTTAAACTGAGATATGATTGTTTAGGACGAAAGATTGGAAAAGTCAGAGCAGAGAACTAAGGGAGGTAGAAGCCTGTTTGAGAGCTAGTGGTAGACTGTGGTATCATTTATGAAAAGATGTTTGTTGATAATAATTAGAGTGTGTATGTCAGAATGATTGATAGTCTCTAACGTAATTATTTTGCACTTTAAATACTGAAGAAATATATTTAGATCTTGCTGTTGTTTTAATATACAGCTTGTTGCACAACCTGCACAAGATTTGTGGGACTGATGGCTGCTGCTCTGTGGGGTGTTTCATCTTTTTTTTAAACAATCAGCTCATCCTTCTGCTCTTGCAGGATGTGTACAGTTTTGCTCCTTCAAAGGAACAGGGCACTTGCTTTGCAAAGACTGCCACACAGATATTTTGCATATATTGCTGAAAACCTTGCCAAGAAAACAAAAAGACCCTCTTTTTTCCATTTTGTGATTTAAAGGAACCTTACAGGGACTGTAATATGCTGGGCAATCTAAATCACTTAGAACAGGACATTTAGATCGCATTCTACAAAACTCTAAATAGGAAGTCCAAAAGCAAAGCTGGAGTTAGCATCTTTATAGGATTACATGGAACTATATTGGCCCTGTGTGCCATTTGGCTATTACAGCAGCATGACTAAAGGTGTAAATTCTATACTGTACTCGTCTCATTCTTATTGGTAAGAAAGAGAAACTGCAAAAAATTCTCTTGTTTTCAAACAATCCTTTGTATTTCTAGGACTGATTTTTGCATAAATTGTGCAAATTTTACCAACTGCATAATTAAAAAGCAATAGCTGCTACTTTGTTGAATTGAGATCTAAGAAACAGAAGCACAGAATTGCTATTTTTGTATTTTTTTTCCCCCTCAATCAGCTATTCCCTCTATGTTTTCTTGGTGCATATGCTTTGTTTTAAAAAGGGAAAGACATTAGTTTTGTACAGACAGATTCTGCACAGATTACTGAAACCTTAACAAAAAAAAAATGAGAACTTGTTCTCATACTGGAAATGTGAAATATCATCAGAGTTAGTGAACCTTCAGCCTGCTGGCTTGCAATGAATCAGTAATGTTGTTAGGTTTCTTGATGTTTCTAAGTACTATCCTTGGTAGCTACAGTATCAGCTTTTGGCCATTTGCTGTGGTGGGGCTGTGTTAACCTTTCTATGGCAGGTTAACACAATGGTAAAAGACTAAGATTCTGAATTCCCACTGTCAAATATTGAGACCTCGGGTCCTTGTGCCTGCACAAATTGAAATTAGCAGGTGAAGGAATTATATGTGACAGTGCTGGCTGTTGAATCTTGGTTGAGAGATAAATGTACAAATATATGTGGGTGGATATTAGAAGGATTCTTTAATGGTCTGGAGAGTTTTATACTTTGATCTGATGGAACAGATGTCTCAGAACAATATCAAACAAGTCTCTTTTTTTAAAACAGGTCTTGCGTTCATACTACTTGTACCTCTTGAACCTAGGATTACTGATGGGAGGGAGTACAAATGTTACCTCTACCTACATTTCTTTGGCATTCTCCTTTATCTCAAATCTCCAGAAGGCAGTTACCCCTTTGAGAAAGCGCCAGGAAAAAAGGATGCTGTTTTATCACACCACCATCAGGGAACTCCAGGTCAGTTTATCTCCAGCAATGTGATTCAGAAAGGGGGGGGGGAGAGAATTATCCAGCAAATGGTTATGATGTACCAGGTCAGTTTATCTCCAGCAATGTGATTAAGAAATGGGGGGGGGGAGAGAGAATGATCCAGCAAATAGTTATGATGTGGAAAAACAATCTGGACTAAATAAGTAATTGTTTTGATTTAGCAAAGCTTTTAAAAATGTTTTTCCTTACTGGAAATGGAATGGTTCCACTTTTTTAAAAAATGTCATTCGTTTTAAAGAGCAGTCTTGATTTTGTAGTACATGATAGGATTTTTGAAATGTCCAGCAATGGTTAAGCTTTCCTTGTATTACAGAGTGACAGGCTAAGCAGAAAGGTCTCTGATAGCTATAGATGAACTATTTTGAACACGGGCAGAAGGAAGAAAAGGGGGGAAGCCCCAGATGAAACAGGCACTTCAGAAAGGAGCAGTTGAGAGAGAGGGGGTCAAACTCGATATGCTTAACAGGTATTATGAAGCCATTCTCCCTCAAGTGGTGAAAGATGCCCATTTGTCACCGCACGGGCTTTTCCTGACCTCCATATCTTGCCTTCTGGATGTGGTTTATTTTGTGATTGGTCATTGAAGGTAAACATTGCATTTTGTTGTTCTGATTGCTGAGGTGTGCATGCCTTGTTAAAGTCTAGTTTTACCCAAGGTTTTTGAAGAAGGCAGCAGGCCAAAAGTAGGGAGAACAGACAGAGAAGATTAGAAAGAGGAATACTCTAGAGCTAGAGAACTGGAAGAGGGAAGAGGCAGGCAAGAGAGCAATATGCGTCGGTGAGCAGAGACTGAAGAGGTTAAAAAGTGCTCTCAAGATGTGTCTACACTGGCCCATCGGACTGGAGCAATTTGGCTTTGCTGTGGCTTGATTATCATCCTATTTTACGGTTGTACTCAGGTTAGAGATGATCATACAAAGAGCCCAGATAATTTTGGCGCCAGGAACTACACTGGCCCTCAATCTGATGCAATTTACTATGTGCCCACAGTCCATGCCCTCCCTTCCTTTGATATCACCCACCTAGCAACCCCAGATCTCCTTTCTTATCTTCTCCCCCCCCCCTTGGAGAGGTGATCTAGTGCTAAACTAAGGTATTAATTCAGTGATAAGGTTATCTGGCACTGAGCTAGTGATAAGGTGATCTAGCACTCAGTGGTGTGGGTTTTTTAAAAAAAATCCTTTGGGATGACTCCGGAGAAAGACTGAGAGGGTGGCTGTCCCTACTCTTACATGCTTACTGCATCACTCTAACACCACCCAGATTCACTCCTTATGTAGAACGAAGCAAACGAAAACACTGTTTGAATTGTTCCAGCTTACACGAGAGAGTGTTAGAGGAAGGACAAGGATGCCCCCTTCTGACTCTTTTGCCGTTCTCTTTCTCCATGAACATTTCACCAATTCGTTGTGTTGGATGTTGTCTTTAGGAAAAGGCCCCTGCTATTGATTGGCTGTCATGCCTTCGGGCAGCTTTCCATCCGGTGAAGCTGAACGTGTCTCAACAAATTGTGGTGCACGATATAGAATATTTAAAAGGAATGTCGCAACTGATTGAAGAATGGCAGAAGAGGAGGTAAGGAATAGCCGTGTCTGCTTCCTGGAAGGATAAAGACTAGACATGTTCATCTCCTTAGACAGTACATGAGGAGAGGGACTCCAGTCACACAACTGAAGTAACAGAGGTGGCATTACAGTGGACTGTTTGATATTACTTTAACAATTTAAACAGCTACAAAAATAATTTCAGTGGTGGACACATAGTGTTTCTGTGTCCATTTAACTGGCCCTGCAAGCCTCCTTTCTCAGCAATTCTTTGCCCAGAAAGGAAAGTTGAAGCAGTTAACTCATCTATCTCCAACAGATTATTTGTTTGCATTTACATTTCAAAGGTGCAAAATACAAAACTAAACTATCGTAAAAAGGCAGGGGTTTGAATGTGCAGAACGCTTCATTAGGGAGGTTTGCAAAATTTGGAATGACAGCGACGGAAAAAGGGAGGTCCAAAAAATTAGCCTGTTTTCATACTGAAGCCAAAGGGTCTCTAATGACAGTGAAATTTCCAAGATGGACATAGCAGCTTTGAAGAAAATGTTTGTAGTGTAGAGGAATCAAGCTTCTGTGCAAGGGATGTAGAATATAATTGGTTTCCTCCATCTCTAAAGGGAAAGGATGGCAGATCACTCTGTGAATGCTCCATTACCTTTCCTCAGGGCACATCCTTTATGGTTTGTTGCTTATTTCTTAAACAAATAGATCATTTATTTATTAATATTATTTAATAAATAAATTATATTTCTACTTAAAAGGACCTTGTGGCCATGACATGAACAAAACAATATACATAAATTGGCTACAGCAACCCAGGTTTACCACAATCGCACAAGAGAATTTGTCATAAAAATGCAATACACATCTAACATTATATAGTATTATAACAATTTTCCAGAAGAGAAACACAGAAATCAAACTCCAACACTAATACATTTAGCACAGGTCTTGCAACCCCAAAAGCTTTGTAGCCTCTCACTGCCCCCCCATGCTCCCTGCATTTTTTTTTTAAAGTGGCAAACCACTTAATTAACTGCTTAACCTAGTAGTGCTTCTTGGAAGTCTCCCTGCCCCCACCATTTCCCCTCTGTCTCTCTTTAGCTAGAATTGATGTGAATAAAAATCTCTAATTATCATCCTCTTTCCCAGATTTGCTTACCCATTTCTCTTCCATGAGCTTCTTTGTTATTCAGAGACATTTGAGCTTTAATTGTTATTCAAAATGCCTTAATTGTTTATTTGGAAAGCGAAACGCCAATTCAAGTGCTCACAATAATTGCTAGCTGCTCTTGTGTCTTCTCATAGTAACTAAAGTTAAAGTGCATGGATTTTTAAATTCATTTAAAATTATATAATAAATTATTCTATAATGAGTTAAGTATACTCTTTAATGAATTTAAATTGATCTTTAGGTCTCAGACAGTTTAGGGCAAAAACGATGGGATTTTATTGTTATAAAATATAACAGGAACACAGTCTACTACATTCTGCTCTTTTTGAGCATATTGTCCTCCAGCAGTTGGCCAGCCTCTGTGACACTGTTGAAATTTCCTACTGCATGAAGATGTAAAGTGATGTAATACCGTAAGTGTGATCAAAGCACTTTATGTCCACAGTCATTAATAATTATTTTCAGAAGGGAAAAAGTAGGTAAGGTAAGTTGCAGTTTAAGTAGGCCCATTTGACTCATGAATTCATGAAGGAGTTAACTCACTAAGTCCCTGTTGATTCAGTGAGCGTAGTCTAAGGTGATTTATTACACAAAGCAACAGGACTTTGATCAATTTTTTTAAATTAGTATTCAACTGTTGGTCAAACTGGACTTTTAAGGGTAATGCATATTCCCTCTGATGAATTCTTCCATGGGATTTTTTCAGATATTTGCCTCAGCAGTCAGGCAATAATTGCCTTCCAAAGAAACACAAAACACAGCACGCTAAATGCAAGAAACATATTGTAGATGAGGAAAATCAGGTGCTGTGACAAACAGAACACTTTCAGCACTCAAGAGTGCACCTTTTAGTAAATGCTTCACCCAGCCCAGTGGTTTTCAAACTTGGTGTCTTAAATGTTCTTAAAGTATATTTCCTAGAAGCTGTAGCTAACATAGTCAATGGTCAGGACTTCTGGAAGTCGTAGTCCAAGAAAAGCTCAAAGTGGGAACTTGTGGTCTAGTCTGTCCCTCTGAGGAAATGAATTGCATGTTTTCTCTTTTAAGAGATGTTCTGCAGATCTACATGATACTGTGCTTGGTGAGAAACCTTTCGCCAGCCCTAGACAGACGATTCCAAGAAGCTAATCAGAAACTGACAGACATGATAGAGAGCAGTACAACGGAATCACTTACAGTGAGTTGGCTTCTCTTTATGACCCACATGCTCCAGTGCAGGAAGAATTTACAGTGAGTTGAAAAGCTCTGAAATAGTTTCACAATGTGATGTAAAATTATTCGAAGTGATGCTACGTGGAGGAGTATCACAGTCCCCTGGACTGCAAAGAGAACAAACCTATCCATTCTGAAGGAAATCAACCCTGAGTGCTCAATGGAAGCACAGATCCTGAAGTTGAGGGTCCAATACATTGGCCATCTCATGAGAAGAGAGGACTCCCTGGAAAAGACCTTAATGTTGGGAAAGTGTGAAGGCAAGAGGAGAAGGGGGCGACAGAGGACGAGATGGTTGGACAGTGTCTTCGAAGCTACCAACATGAATTTGACCCAATTCCGGGAGGCAATGGAAGACAGGAGGGCCTGGCGTGCTCTGGTCCATGGGGTCACGAAGAGTCGGACACGACTTAACGACTAAACAATAACAATATCAGAGTCCACTGAGCTGCACACAGTAGATGGTTTTTCCTGGTGGCAGTGATCAAAATCTGTTTTGAAAAATATGATTGGGAAAACATAGACTCATAGAATCACAGAGTTGGAAGAGACCACAGGGGCCATCGAGTCAAACCCCCTGCCATGCATGAACTCATCAAAGCACTCCTGACAGATGGCCATCCAGCCTCCGCTTAAAAACCTCCAAAGATGGAGACTCCACCACACTCCGAGGCAACCTATTCCACTGCCGACCAGCTCTGACTGTCAGGAAGTTCCTCCTGGGATTCAGGTGGAATCTCTTTTCCTGTCATTTGAAACCATTGCTTCTTCTCCTAATCTCTGGAGCCATGGAAAACAAACCTGTCCCTTCCTCGACATGACATCTCTTCAGATATTTAAACATGGCTATCTTTTTGTAAGGCTAAACATTCCCATCTCCCCAAGCCGCTCCTCATAGGATATGGCTTCCAGACCTTTGATCATTTTGGTCACCCTCCTCTGGACACGTTCCAGGTTGTCAACATCCTTCTTAAACTGAGGTGCCCAGAAATGGACACTATATTTCAGTTGAGGTCTGACCAAAGCAGAATAGAGTGGTACTATCAATACCATTGATCTAGACACTATATTCCTACTGATGCAACCAAGTATTGCATTGGCTTTCTTGGCAGCCACATCACACTGCTGACTCATGTTCAGTTTGTGGTCTACCAAGACTCCTAGATCCCTTTCACAGGTACTGTTGTCTAGCCAGGTGTCTTCCATCCTATATCTGTGCAGTTCATTTTTTCTGCCTACCTGTAGGACCTTACATTTCTCCCTGTTGAAAATCATTTTATTAGTTTTGGGCCTAGGACTCTAATCTGTCAAGGTCATTTAGAATTTTAATCCTGTCCTCTGGGGAATTAGCAACCCCTCCCAATTTGGTATCATCTGCAAATTGAACCAGCCGACTCTCTATTCCTTCATCCAAGTCATTGATAAAGATGTTGAATAGCACAGGACCCAGAGCAGAACATTGCACCACCCGCTCCAAAACACTGAAATTCACAGCACTAGCTTTCAGGTTCCCCGAATATATCTTTCAATATCATAGTTTTCAGAAGGTGGGAGCATAACTTTCATTCATTTTTCGTATTTCTTCAAAATAACTTCCTAGTAAATGGTGTGCAATGTCACCTTTTGTTTTTGTCATTTCCCAGGTTAAACCGGACCGCTGGAGAAAATGCCTGAGTGAAACCAGCACTTTTTTTGGGCCTATACTTGGGAAGATGATTGTGCAGGAGATTTTCCCCCAGAAGGCCAAGGATCTCGTAGGTATTCAATTATACTAGATACTGAATCACTTTTCTGTATCCTCTTATCCTTTGTTAATATTCTTTTGAATACTGTGTATCCATTGCCTACTCCTTACTATTGGCTCATGTTGTATGAACAGATTCCACAGACCTAACTGGAGTAGGGGCTCCTGCAGAGTAAGGGACTCCCTTCAGCAAGAAAACAAGATGATTAAAAAGCAGGCAGTCTGCATCTTCTTTGTCTTACTCCACGCAGAGGACTGTACAGCCACTGTAGGACTGTTGCATTAAATTCCCATGCAAGCAAAGTGATAGCTGGGAATTTAATGCAACAGTCCTACAGACACAAATGAGAAGCTCCCATTGTCTAGAATAAGGACCAGCAATGGAAGAAAGAACTTTTGAGAAAGAACTGGGGAGAAAGCTCCAGCTTGATTCAAATTAACTTGTACAACATGTACATAGTTAATAGAAAATTATGCAAACCAGGCTGTCTAAATCCCAGAGCATTCCCCATGTTATTTGTCAATGTAATCATGCCCTCTGCAAATGTTTGTACCTGTCTCAGTATGGCTAAAGTGTTATCTTAATTCTGAGGTCTCTACTTTTCCTGGCTAGGCTGAGCTGATATTTGCTGAGATCCGCAATACCATCCATAGCCATCTGGATTCTGTAGAATGGATGGGTTACCAAGCCCGTCAAGAGGCCAAGGAGAAAGTATGTATCTGGGTTAGAGTGACTGTCAAGAGGAGAATGTGGGTGTGGATAAACTGTACCAGAATCACAGTCTGGAGACAGTGTTTCTTAGTATCAATAGTTACGACAGGAAAGGAAAGGAAAAGGGGAAAAGAAGGGAAGGAATCAATGCTGTAGTGACAAGTCAATGGCTGGATGGCTCCTCATGTTTATATGAGGCCAACTGAGAAGTATTGTACTGATTACAAAGGCTTATATTGCACGCTTCTTTTCCTTCAGATTATGGCTCTGAGACTATGTCTGCACAGTCCCAGATAGTTCCCCAGGTTAAATCCTAATCATTAACTGTATGGTTTATATTTCAAGCCCCACAGGCCTTAACATTGATCTATAAGTATGAGAGAGAGAGAGAGAGAGATTGCAACATTCACCTTGATAAATGAATTTGCAGGGTGCATATTAGGGCAGACCATGATCTCTGAATAATACCTGTGTATCAGGATTTAATGAGAGATGTGTGGGTTTCTATACCAAATTCCATAACATGCAGATTCTCAAAGGATAAAAGTTTTTAAATCTGTCTCAATTATTTTTAGATCTATAGTCTCCATGTGGAGATTGGATACCCAGAGAAAATCTTCCAAACAGATGAAGTGGATGATGAATATCAAGAGGTGAGTTAATCAAACACCTTTTGCCTTAAAACCTACAATGCCTTCATAATTTAAATCACCTACTGCTTGGCATTTCCTAACAGCACAGAAAGGTGCATTTTTATTTTATGGCTTCCTGCCATGTCTAGCCTTAATAATTGTTGACCCTATGCCACTGCCTTCTCAAATACTTCTTTATTGTTATGAAATACAGTTGTTCTTCTAACCTTCATTGATTTCAACCCCACAGATTAAGATGGGGTATAAATGAGTTTATTATCTGTCATTATAACATCAAAAAAAACATTAGAATGTATAAGACAGCAGTCTATGAAACAAGGAGCAGTAGATGACTAAAATAAGATAAAATAAAAAAGGAGCCATGGGTCCAGAAAAAACAACCATCAGCTGGGAGCCTAACTGACTTAAGTGACTAATCAGCTAATCAACATAAATGTGTAGTATGCAGCTCTGTCATTTCTTCTTATTTTTTCTTAATGGAAAACGGTGGGTATGGTCAGGTAAAAAGAAAAATGTACTGTTATTGTTCTAAAGTATCCATTTGTGATAAAACAAGAGCTGATTTCCTTGTATTCAAGTATGTAGAAGGCTCACAGAAAATCAGTAGTCTCTTGCAGATGATGGTAAGGTAAACAAAGTGGGGGGGAATATTTCCTTCAAATGTGGATGAGCTAAGGAGGAAGTGACCAGTGAATAGTTACTTTCAAAGATCAGGATGGACAAGATTCAAAAGCTAACCTGGCTAAATATTGATCTTTCCTCCCTCCCCACCTCTGTTCCTTTAATTACAACAGGAAGTGATATTCATCAGGAATAGAGGTGGGCATGGATTAGAAAAATTGTGATTTGTTTTGTTTCATGATTCATCAAGGTCGATGAATCATGAATTACAAATTTACAGGTTTTTTTTTCCTGACAAATCAATGAAACAATTCCTCAATTCATTTTTTGCTTTAGAAACCTATAAAACACCTTCCACAAGAACTCAGAGACACCAAATTCACAGGGAAGTTTCCCTCTCCTCTACAAGCCCTGCAAGTTTGGTGAAGTTTGGGCTTCAGATGTCCAAGTTATACACCCACAAGGAAGCCTCCCTCCCCAGGAAAGTTCTCCCCAGGGAGCTAGAGACACCAAAATCACAGAGAAACTTCTCTTCTTTCCTCAGCTGGCCATTTATGAGGACAACTTTTTCCATAATGTGGTTTCTTGCCTGAAGTCTCTGAGGAAGAGGTTCTTGCTCGGACTTGTCAATCCTCATCTACAGGATAAGTATGTTTTTCTTGTAGGACGAAGGAGACATTATTTAGAAGGGAGACAAACGATGGTGTGAGATGTGAATATCCCTCCTTCTGTTTTGTTGCTGTTCCTCAAATTTGCTCTGTCCTGTCTGTGTTCTGCCATCCTTGCGTTCCAGGTTTATCTGAAGAATTCCTAAGACTTATTTCAGATTTCAAGATGTAGATTACCACTTAGTCAGACTGTCCAACAGGATGTGTGCCAAATTTTAGTTGGGATCTCTTCTTTCCCCCCCCCCCAAAAAAATGCAGACTAGTATGTACATCAAATTGAATCAAAATGCCACTTCTAGATTATGATTTAAATGCTGTATGTACCAGTAGGCAGCAGTAGCCTTCAAAAGAATATTTTAAAGATGCTACACAAAAAGGGGCAAATTTTGTGCTCCATAGTTGAACAAGATAAAAAAAAGTTAAAAATGGAAGAATCCCAGACTGCTACCATGTTTCCCTGAAAATAAGACAGGGTCTTATATTAATTTTTGCTCCAAAAACGCATTAGGGCTTATTTTCAGGGGAGGTTTTTTTTTATGTACAACAATCTATATTTATTCAAATGCAGTCATGTCATCTTCTTCTGGTTGCTGCACAGTGGTAGAGGGTGGAGTTTCACTTAACTAGGGCTTATTTTGGTTCATCGGCATTTAGGACTAGCAGCTGCATGTGGAAATTTAATCCACAGCGCCCCCCCCTAAAAGTTACATTCAAGTGGTACAACAACTCTGTTAGGCAAGGGGTCCCCAAACCTTTTCACCCCACGGACCGGCTGGGGAAGGCGGGGCACCCCACGCTCGTGTGCATGCACAAATCAGCATGCACATTCTCTTGGACAAATGAGCATGCACATGCATAAACAGCGGTGCAGCGCTTGTGCAGGTGCTCGTACACATGCGCAAATGGCAATGTGGCACTCACACAGGTGTGCTGGAGTGCACGAATGCACAAATCAGCTGTGCGGGGGTGAGTGCGTGCGGGGGGGCGGGAGGTCTGTCTCCACGGCCCAGTCCAGCTCAGGCCACAGACCGGCACCAGGCCGTGGATTGGGGGTTGGTGATCTCTGTGTTAGCCTAGATCTGAGATTAACTCTCGGTCCTATTTTGAGACCCCTGTCCAGCAACCTCCCCTGTCCAGCAACCTGATACAAACTGGGCTGAAGGGCTGTCTCTTCCCCCACAAGGTCTAAGCCAAATACAGTTTTGATGTCGCATTTGCCCCTCTAAAACTGTTTCCACGGTCTCGAATCATCTGTCGCCCTCTTTTTCTAGAAAGAAAAGGGTGAACTGCAGTTCTTTGGATCACCCCTCCCGCCCACTCTTTAACAGCCCCAAACACTTCTTGTTTGCAAAACTGGAAATGAGCCACTGGTCGTTTCTTATTTTATTTTTGCTTTTCAAGATGAACAACATAACACACATATATACCACCCACAGAGGAATGAAATAGGCCCTAGACTTCCCAGAGTTGCCCAGCCATGCACTAGATCCATGATGGCTTCTTCATATATGAAACTAATCGCTTCATATTTCAGTTTTCAAGGAATTAATGTGAATGGATGAACTGTGCTTATTGTTATCCCTTCACTGAATATGTGGAGTGAAGAGAAAAGGAATAAAAATGTTGGTCCACGTAATTCCTTTCTTTGCCATCATATTTTTAAAACCTTTCCATTCCAGCTGGGAAGTTGTTCCTTGGTCTGTACATTCATACTACTCCCTGAGGCGCCATGCTGTCGTTTTCCCTGCTGGAATGTTCCGCAGCCCTTTCTTCCACAACGAATTTCCTAGGTAAGAAAGGTAGCAAAGCTGCCTATAGAATTATTAACCTTTTCCCTAAACTATGCCACAAGCATCATTACCAAAACAGTCAAAGTCCTTTGATCAGAAAACCTAATGAGCTGGGAAAATTGGGTGTTCATTGCATTAGCAATGGCAGCTGTGTAACACCATTTTCAGTGGTCTGAGAAATTTGGCAGCCTTCCATGATTCCTTCCTCCAAAAGAGAACCAGACAAAGGGCTTTCCCCCGTTAAGGTTTCCTGAAGCGCAGAAGAAAGATGCAAGCAACCTATCCAAGACTTAAGAAGATTAAGTGTGCATGAAACAAAGCAGTAGTCATCCTGTTTTTATTTCACTTGGTTCCTATGTTGCTTTATCACTCTAGTGATTATTTTGAGCAAAAAAAAAATCAAAATAAACCAAAACTTTTTGTTGAAAATTTAAGGAATGATTCCAGAGTGCCGTGAAATCTGCGGCAGTCTTCGTGGGTAAGGAGAGGAATGGTGCCGCTCCTGAGCCTTGCCTGCAGGGCTTACACAAGGAAAAATTAATATCCCCAATATGGCATCTACACTGGAAGAAAACCTGTGAGCCTTGCTCATGTTCTGTAGACCCCCCCACAACATCATCTCTTAGTTTACAGATTATGGAAGTTTCAAGAGTCTGGTCTTTGTGTTTTCCAGTGCTGCAAACTTTGGAGCCATGGGGTTTTTCATGGCACATGAGCTACTACACTCTTTGTATGATTTTGGTAAGTACTGCAAAAAAAATGGGAAGTGATCTTTTGAGGCTTGTTGTTTGCAATTAATTTAATGGATATTAGGAATGTTTGAGCATGACAGTGGGAGATGTACAGACTGCCTTGTGAGCCATGCCATAATTTATCAAAGTGTGGTGACTCATGATGTAAACCGCTATTTAGGATTTATTTTCATGGATTTTCCTTTTGTTTACAGTACTGACCAAAAACTGTTCTGATTGCGACATTAAAGCAATGGAACGAGGTATAGATTGTCTCATGAGACAGTATGAAAGCTATTCCCTAGAAGGCCACAGCATCAATGGCTCCTTAACCTTATTAGAGAATGCAGCTGATACTGGTGGACTTGCCATTGCTTACCAGGTACCAAAATCAAATCATCAGAGTGCTACACCTCCTCCTTAGTCATAATTTGCAGCCAATCCCTTTGTTCTTTGTTCCCCACATGTCCTTCCCTGTCCTTTGCACCCCACCCATCCTTCCTTTCTCCCTTAGGTGGTGCTCAGCTTATTTAATTCCTTCCAATTGCCCACCTCTTTGCTTCTTGCAACCTTTGCTTCTCAATCCATTCACATTTTCCTTCTCTTGAGTTCCCACACATTCTTCATTGATCCCAGCTATTATGTGTCTGCACCATTTAAGTTCCCCTTTGATGTTATTGCGAGTTGTCTTAGCTTCAACTATGCCTTGCCCTCTTGTTTCCCCCTGAAATTGTTCCCTAAGGATTGGCTCCCTTCAGTGGCATTCCCTTTGGCAATGCCCCCCTCCCCTTCATAACACAGTGTTTATCCCCAAGGAAGCAGGATACCATTCCTGGGGAGTTCAGAAGCACTTTCTCCATCAAAACATGGCACCGGGGAGAATAATCAAGCCATAATCAATGAGACAGTGTGATGTCCTAGTTCTCTCTCCTTTCCCAGAGGGAGTGAAGCATCTGTCATTGAGAAGCATTGTCTTTCTTGTCTACTGCTTTTGGATAAGCCAAACCAGACAGGTGGTGCTACCTAGTTCAAATAGCAGGCATTCTTTTCATTGGTATTGGGGGACCCCTGGGTTGGTTTTCCATTTCTCAGAGGAAAAGACCTCTGCCAGTCAGCCTTTCCTTTCATGTCAGGGGTTCTCTCTTCTCCTGCCTGCTGTGAATAGTGTCTAAGTTTCAGCAGCTACAAGCTGTTTGGCGAGGAGGCTGACTAGGTAAGGACCAAAGAAGGGAATGGGTAGGAGCAATCACTGCCGTCTCCCAGCTCATCCTTAAGGTCGCATTCTCTGAATGGGTTGACTTGGCATCCTAGTGAAAGGAAAACACCTCATTAGGGATTGTTCTCGGAAAGCCATGCCTGAAATTAAGAAATGCACGGTCACTTTACACTTTAATTTTTCTTTCTCCCTTTTGCTCTCAGGCCTATCAAAACTGGTTGACAAAACACAGAAGGATGAAGGAGTTACCTTGGGAAGGGATCTCGCACCACCAACTCTTTTTCATCAGCTTTGCCCATGTAATTCAACCTTTGAGTTCTTTCCCTGTGGTTTGTATTGTTTGATGTTTAGCTGTATCAACCCTTCTTCGTACATTTGACATGCTTTCTCACTGCCGACCTTCCTGCTTTCTTTTTTGTAGAATTGTGAGCAACTTATTACTTTCATAGAGCAATGGGGACCATTTTCTTCTTGCCTCTTTCCCGTGGTCCCAGAGCCTACACAGGTTAAAGGGTGCTGAAATTGGCATGGTTCAGACGGATCCTTGTTATGGTTTGCTGATAGAGGTTATATGCATGACCTCCACCAGCTTTTCCTTTTCCCTCTTGCCCTCCTTCTGTAAAGCTTCTGTTGGTTTACAGCTACCATCATTGAAATCATATGCCCGACAGAACTTTTTAGTTTTTAAGATGCCACAAGATTCCTGTTTCCTGCTATACAGTAACACAACTGCCCTCTGGAAATTAATGAACCAGGACATTCTGGTTCTTCTACAAACCATTGTTTGTGTAATACAGTCAGGGCCCCATATCTTCTGGATCAATATCCACTGACTCAGTTAACTATGGTCTGAAAATATTAAATATTTTAAATGAAAATACCAAGATTTAGGGGTAATTAAATGTAGTTATCAGAACTGGCCACTAGAGGGAACCAGACACGATGTTGTAAAAAGTATAGGCGAGGCAGACCAGCTTGGTTGTAAAACTCAGAGCTGGTTTGCCTGGCGAGGCTAGAAGTGGGAGTGCAAGCCTTAAGGCAAAGTTCCTCCTGGGAGAGAATTCCCACAAGCCAGCCCTTCCTGCCTTCCAGCCAGCTCCTTCCTCAAGACTCCCAGGCAAACAAGGAAATGGATTGTTGTTGTGGGTTTTTCAGGCTCTTTGGCCGTGTTCTGAAGGTTGTTCTTCCAAACCTTTCGCCAGTCTCTGTGGCCGGCATCTTCAGAGGACTGGAGTCGGAACTCTGTCTGTGCTCTGTTGGTGTTTGTTGGATAGTATTTACGTCGGGAAGAACAACCTTCAGAACACGGCCAAAGAGCCCGAAAAACCGACAACAACTATTAGATCCTGGCTGTGAAAGCCTTCGTGAATACAAGGAAATGGATTCTTAATTTTCTTCAAAGAAGAAATGCCTCGTAGCCATTGTGTGTGTGTGAAAGAGTGTGTGTGTGTGTGTTTCTCCATCTGCAGGGGTGGGGGCTTCGAACCAATCTCCCACAGATATAGGGGTCGTACTGTACATAACTTCACCTATTCAGAGAAAACAGGAAGCTGCACTTTGCCAGAATCCTAATGCTGATTTATGCTTGCATAAAGGACATTTTGGAGATTTTGGCGGCTAATTGCCACATCCAGGAATGCATCCAGAACCTTGTTAACGAGCGGTAATTTGCTACAAAGATTTGTTCAGTTTCCTTCAGACCAGCAAAAATTGGCAAGAGGGTTCCGGCAATGAACAGAACATTCTGCTTTGTACAGTGAAGATAAACAGAAAATACAGGTTCAGGGGCTGATCATACTTCAGAGGAAGTATGTATTTGCTTCTCTGACAATGTTTTCCTCACAGACATGCATATATTTCAGAGCTACATGCCTGAAACATCAGACATAGAAGCTAAGCAGTGCTATTTCCCAGGTGACTAATTACAAAATAAAAGGAGGTTAATTTGCCAGATGCAAATTGAGATATGATCTTACTAGAATAAATAGTCTCTCTCTTAAGGGAGTTCTCTTTGTAATGATTGTATCATTTCGTTTGGCCCTCAGTTGAACTGTTGACTAGATATGTTGGCAAACAGTTTCTGACCTAATTCTCCCCTAAGAGAACTTCCAAAAAAATGTGAACTAAATGTAAGGATTGCTGAGAGGAAGTGTCTTGAAAAAAAATTCTTGGAGAGCTACAGTGTTAGATTTAGGTAAGTGTGTATGAACATTTTCTGCACAACATTAGACTCAAGACCTCAGTTGTGCTTACAACAATCAAGCACAGAGTTCTTTTTTCCTTCATGGTATAGATTTGGCTACTGAGAGCTGGTTTTGGTGTTTTTTTAAATAAAGGCTGAATTCCTGTTCTGCAGTCATGCAAACAATGTAGTTTTTAGACATGAATTGCTGTAAGCTAAGACATTTCTGCAGGCATTATCTGTTGCACACTGAGTTGCACAACTCAGCGTGCAACAGCTAACATCTATGAAAATTTCTTAGATTATGGCAGCTTATTTCTAAAATTTACGCTGTTTGCGTAACTGCACAGCAGGATTTTAGTCAGTGTTTGACAAATGAAAAAACACTTGCAAGATCTATTTGATCAGAGACTCTGGAGGGCGGAAATGAAAAATAATATTTATACTGTGATACATCTATAACATCACTCCCAAGAGTTTAGATACAGTATTATTAAGGCACTGTTTTATATGGGACTCTCTTTATTGCACAGTATTGGAGTTCTGTACATAGATTTTTCTCTAACAGCAGAGAAAACTTTGAGAACTTTGCAGATCACTTCCCATAAGCACTCCAAAACTAGAAAGCTCTGTTCATAGAAGCAGTTGTACAGAGCTGCGTGAGTCTTCTCTTCTGATATTAAATGATCTCTGTGTGCAGCCACTGGTTGAAAGATGGTGAAAGCAGAGTCTGAATTGGTTCCAAGTGTCTGAGGAGTTATCTGTATAAGTGGCCTGGGTGCTTTTCTCTGGTCTGGTGTCCTCAAATGGTTTGGACTACAACACCCACCCTTGGTCATGAGTATAGTCATTGAGGTGGATGGAACATGTAGTCCAGCTAATATGGAGGGCTCCTGATTAGAAAGTCTGGGAATATTGGCGGAACTTCATGTTTAACTCCTGGCAAAATTCACCACCTGCCTTGTGTAGTCATCTGAAAACTATTGTAAGACAAGCTGCTCAAAGCTAGAGAATAAGCTCTTCAGGTTTGAACCAGTGATAAGTATTTATTTATGTAGTTATTCTTCCATTCTTTCATTATATTGATATCCAGTCTTTCCTTCAGTGAGGTCAGAGTTCTCTCCTCTCCTTTATCCTCACAGGATCCATTTGAGATCATCTGGGCTGAGAGAGAAAGGCTAGCCCAGGGTCATCTAGTGATTGGATCAGTGTGGATCAGAAGAGGCATCTTCCCAGTCTAATATTCCTACCTTTCTACTCACAGTGCATAGTTAGGGGCTAATGATGCCTTACACAGTGATCCCTATAAACAAACCCAATGGTATTTTTAGAAAGTAAAAAAGACATTCAGGGATCAGAGCATAGCAAAGAAAGTCTTTTTCTGTCCAAATTCATTCCTGGCCCAAGCAGATTTTCCCCGCACTGTGTCCTGGAAGCATATTTGTCCTATGTACATCTGTTTCTTTTCCAAAGGTTTTTTTTTGTCCTTTCTTTCTCCAAGTGCCCAAAGCATCAGGTAAGCTTATGTGAGATTATGTAAAAAGAAAGAAAAAAAGAGAGACTCCACTGTTCAATATTCACAAGCTTGTCTTTTTTGCAGGCAATGTGTGGGCGCCAGAGCCCTAAGAGACTGGAAACTTTCTTACACAGGGATCCACACAGCCCCCCAATACTCCGTGTCCTTGGGTCATTAAGCAATAGCCAGGATTTCTCCAGGCAGTTCCACTGTCCAAGTAAGTCACCCTTGAACCCACCTCTGAAGTGTCACATCTGGTAAAACAAACTGAAGAGTACACGAGACAAGTAATGTCACAGACGAAACAAAACCAGAAACTGAAGCTATGGGATCTTGTGGATTCGGTGACATTTGCCATGCCCATTGCATGCACTTTCTCGATTATTTCCTATGCAGTTTTTCTTCTTTAGTCCACTATTTCCATCCACTGGTCAAGATGGAAGAAGATGCCATCCATTGACGAAGAAGGAAAAGCACACAGAGAAGATACTACACTGTAGAAGTGTTCTACTATTTTTTTTAACCTCCTACCCTCATTTAGGGAAGACTCGGATTGGGGAAGCGATCATTTGAAAATCTTTCGTGACTGTGTCCAATGATTGTGTTCCACTCAAATACAAAAATGACAACTTTCTGACTATTGTGACAGTACGGGAGGATGAGGCACTAAGACTCAATATATGCCAAAGGATGGTCTACACTGATTGTAGTTTAGAACTAAACCATAATCTCATTCTCATAGAGGTGGTAAATCAGATTCTGGGCTATATCATTTAATAATGTAGGTGTGTGTGTGTGGGTCAACTGAATTCTTTCCTATATATTAAACAAATTAAAACACTCGGCAGCTGGGAGAAGAGATATATCTTTGCCCTCTCCCTTAAATTCTAATTTTCTAGGTTTATGGATGTTGTTTCTTTTTGTCCTTCGGGGGAAGAGTATTCTGTCTTGTTAACCTCCATTTGAAGTTTACAGTGATACACTGGTTATCTCAGTGAGAATTAAGCCAATGTTCAAAGGTTTAAACCATAGTTTAGTTTTGTGAGTCTGCTTTGCTTTTCTGACATCTCAACTTTTTAAGGTTCTCTTCCATCTGAAGACAAAGCAAAGGCCATACTTACACTTAAAAAATTATACCCCAGATCAAACTCTAGTTTGCACATAACATTGTTCAGATCGTGGCTTCTGATTCTAGTTTATTGATAGATTGCACACCATGGTTTATAAGTTCAGACTTCACAACAAACCATAATTAAGTTATGACATGATATGATATTTGAATTGGGCCCAAGTTGATGGACATGGCTTATTCAATGTGTTTTTAATTTCGCATGTTATACATGTGAGGAAATACGGAGATCTAGACTGATGCCCACCCTTCACAGAGACAGAGATTTTTTTCATTTTTTGCACACCATGGTTTATAAGTTCAGACTTCACAACAAACCATAATTAAGTTATGACATGATATGATATTTGAATTGGGCCCAAGTTGATGGACATGGCTTATTCAATGTGTTTTTAATTTCGCATGTTATACATGTGAGGAAATACGGAGATCTAGACTGATGCCCACCCTTCACAGAGACAGAGATTTTTTTCATTCTGTCATGAGGCGGCTTCACCCACAGGTGACAAACGACAGTGTGTAGGCTGAATTCAATTTGTGAAGCAAATTTATTTGGTCCATTGGGGATCTGCCCAATTTTAAGCAAAGTGTTATTAAAAATACACTAATCATTTCCCCTATAAGGAAATCACCATGTATTGTTTGTGTAATTGTATTATATTCTTATCTCTGAGACATTTGGGGGGGGAGGGGAGAAGGATAGAACCACTCATGCTCCTGAAGAGATTTTTCAAGAGCCACATTGTTTTCTCAGCTTTTAAGCCAAAGAAGCCCCAATATCTAACACATCTGCTGTACCTGTTAGATCAGAGGGTTTCAGCCTGAATATAGGCAGGATTAGGCCGAGCCTAGTGACATCTCCATCAAAACTAATGATGCAAGAGAAGAACCTGGGTGAACTTTGTGCCCTAAGTGTGAAACCTCGTACACTCAGGGACAGAGGAAATAGCAAAATGATATCGAGAGAAGAAGTCACATAGAACTTAGAATTATGCCCTCCAAGATTGTGCTTCTTCTTTTGAAGACTGAGAGAAGGTGGCCAATCAGTGTTCATTCTCAGAAAGTGGAAAATGGCGGGCCCAAGGAACGTAAATGTTGGCCATCCCTGATCAAACATCATGGCTACTAGAGGGGTGAGCAGCTGTAGCCCTCCAGATATTTTGGCCAGGAACTCCTAGCTGCCCTGGTCACCACAACCAATGATGAAGGTTGATGGTTTGGAAGTCTGCTGCTGCAGCAGATCAAAATCTGTTATTTAAAATGGTCTGTCTTACAAATAGGAGAAATATACTTCCAGTTGACTATACTTAATAGGGAGAACATGCTGATCAAATGAAAAAAGGCTGAGCTGCAGGATGAGTGAACCAAATCTTTCTTGGCCTCTGCTGTTTATAATTTAATTGCTTTTCCTCAACACCACTGGATCAACTCCTTCTTCACAATAAAAGTGGGAGTATTAAAAAAGCATGCTTAATGTAACATGTAGTTTGTCCATGTTTCCTGTGACTTGCAGGCCATCCACCTCATCAACCCCAGTCTAATGAAATCCGTTATGGTTTTTAGGAGGTGAAATCAAAGAAGATACATCTGACAATACCATTTATTAGACCAAAAAAAGCTTTGGGTGAAAAATACATAAACATCCCACCTCTTTTTCCTGATTTGTTTCTGGATGGTTTGTTGAAAGTGATATAAATACGAAAAGGTGTAAAACATCCATATACAGTACAACTCAATAACATTATTCAGTAGGACTTTTGTGCAGTATGAAGTATATAATTGTTATTGATTCACCAGGATCTAAGTCATAGGGAGACATGTGACTTCTACCATTCAGTTCTTAAAATCTGCATTTAGCAAAAGCACTGATTGCTCTTGTCAGTCTCTAGTAATAGACAATGCAGTATATCTGTTGCAAGTTATGGGCATGATCCACCAGGAAATTTGCCTGCCCAACCCCTCCTAGAAGAAAGGGCTTTTTAATCACAGTTCCTGTTGCTTCAGTGGGTTTGTGTGGAAAAATTACGTTGTGGACCGTGCCTTCTTCATACATTTATACATTTCTTTATACATTTGGCTGTAATTGGCAAAAACAACCTTCCCTCAGTTTAATTCAAGAAACTATTGTACTCTTTTTGTAATTTCCTCTTTTAAAAATCACAAAATTGGGTTGTAATGGATATGAATAATTGATATTATCTTCATGTTGTGGTGAACAGCACAATCAATAAAACTAGCTAGTTTTATTTTTTGTTTCTAGTATGCACAACAAGCTTTAGTCTTCTTTTTTAACAGTGGGGTTGTTATAACGACAGAATTATAAACAACAGGCTTTGGAGATCCAAACAAAGATGTATGTATGTCCATTTGCTTTTTAAGGTACAGAGAAGTCTGAGTTTTATTTTTGTTCTCCACACCAGAAAACAGGAGGAAATAGTCTTACTGTGCCACAGAGGTACAAAGAATAAGCCATAGCCCAACAGGCAGAGAACAGAATTGTCTTCTATGTATACTTTGAATGGCGCAGACACCACCTCCTTCTGTGGTTGCCCCAGGGGTATTCAGGCTCAAAGCAACCATGAGTGGCATCTCCTGGGCCATTGAAAAGTCCAGTGTCTGTGTTTCACTAAATGTCCTGGGGCATGGACCATAAGAGTGAAAGCATGTCCACCAGGAGTGTGCAACATCTGAGGGTCCAGGGGGCATTTCTAGCTTACCCTGGACCTTCATGGGCGGACCTCCCTCTTAAACATCTCCACCCACAAACAAAAAAAACCCCTATTAATTCCTGAAAATGGCATATTATCCCCCAGAAGCCTATGCAGGACTCGGTTTTCCCTCTGCTCAGTAATTTTTGTAGGTAAGGTGGGGTTTTTTTTGGGGGGGGGGTAAGAGATGGCCAGCCAACCAGTCACTTCTCATTTCCAAAATAAAATGGCCAACCTTTTTGGTACCTAAAGGCCCATGATAGCAATATTACAGTAGGGAGAAAAATCATGCCCCCCCGATACTTTTTCAGGGTTCCGAGGGAGGGAGGTGGTCTTTAGGACTCTGAAGGAGGCCCTACTATTTGACGGGGGGGGAAGGATGTGGCCCCCCCTGGTCACACTTTGCCCACCCTTCTTATATATGTACCCTAACTTGTCTGAGAGGAAACAAAGAGGGGAGAGAGAGCAACATTGGAGTTTGTATCCAGGGAGCCTGCGTGCATTTTACAGCCTTTACAAGAAAGAAAAAGGACTGAGTCCTGCGTCCCTCCCCCCCACATTAAAAACAGCTGCTATTAGCTACAAGATTCAAGACCGCAACTGCAGCACATGGGAAGGGGGCTTTTCCCTCCATATCTTGGTCCCGACAGAAAGGACATATGTGGTTATTCTTCTTATACAGGCAAGCGATGTCTCTGCAGTACCCTGAATGCTAAAGAAAGACGGAGCCTGTTTCCTTGACATATACTCAGAATGAAGGATATGTTTCTGACTGCTGGACCCTCCTTTTTTTTCCCCTCATCATTAGCTGACTCAGCTAATAGCCTCAAACAGTTGTGAGGCAGAGGATAGGGAAGATCAGGATTTCCTGTGTTTTTGGTATAAATGGAAGACAAATATCTCAATCTTTACCTAATTGTTAAATCATTAGCTGACTCAGCTAATAGCCTCAAACAGTTGTGAGGCAGAGGATAGGGAAGATCAGGATTTCCTGTGTTTTTGGTATACAGTAAATGGAAGACAAATATCTCCATCTTTACCTAATTGTTAAGAGGTAGGGTTTAGACTGCTTTTTTTCCCATGGTGGCTATAATTTGGAACTCGGTTCTTTGAGTTTCTTTATAGAAAAACTGAGTATTAGGCGGTGAAAATACACCCGAGGTTTACTATAGCGTTCAGAGTCACATGACTGAAAACTTCATAATGAAAAATAATTTTTGTCCATGTGATAAAAGTTCTATGCATTAAACAGTAGTGTAACAGTGAGAATGGTCGGTTACAACTCTTCTCTGTGCCCTATAGCTTTCTTCGTGCGGGCCAGTCATGTAATTTCTTATGTGCAGTTGGTGGTACAGTCCAGGAGTGGTTTTGCCTTATTATGATTAGAGAGCTCCTAAAGCCCATGAGCATCTAGAAACAATCTATGGGAAAAAAATGCCATAGGGGGAGAACCAAACAGCAACCGTGTGACTTAAAGCAGACTCTACAAACTTTGGCTAGGGGGTTTATTGCCCTTCTCAGGGGGCCATGGTCTTGAGCCATATCTAGTTGGTACTGAAGTCCCTATGTGGTGGAGTCCCCAGGTTCCCTAGGCGTGAGCGATGACACTGCAGATGCCTCTTAGTAGGCAATCATGAAGCACAAGTAGATGTTGAGGTTGTCTTCATCCATTACCATTGCTAAGACTTCTGGCTCTATGTCACGCATAAAAAAAAGAGCATGACACTTGCTGTGTTCAAAGAGATGGCTAAGTCCAGTAAGATGTCCTTCACTGCTGCATTTCCCAGCTGTTCGGAGTCTTCGCTCTCAGCCATGTTGATCACCTCCATGCCTTCCCCTGTTGATGAAGCCACAAATGTTTCTTCTATCTTCCCCCCACCTTAAATACAAAGGGGGATTCAAACAGTTCTCTTCCTTGACTTTGACTCTGCCTTCTTTGACCCTGTTATCTACTGAAACTCTGTTATACCCCATTCATTTTTCCTGAACATTGACATTTGGAGGAACTGAAATGTTTGCCACCCCCTCCCTCCTTTATTCTACTCTTGGTGCATTTGATACGTTTGTACATCTTGTTCTCAGGTGCTGCTGCTGATTTGGAAATGACAGTAGGTAGGAGAAGAAAAGAGCTGGGCCGATTCGCCCCGCAGCACCACATTGGACTGGTGCTGTTTCATAGCTATCCTGCTCTGCCTAATAAAGCTTGCCCCATCTACTTGTCCTTATGCAAAGTAATGCATAAGTGCAGAATGTGTAGAGGGATACTTGAATACACATCCCACTGAAAGTAATGCAAGATGTATAGAATGGCATATATATTTGGATACAAAGTGGGAATATGTTCCCTTCCACCTAACTTAGCATTTATCTCCTTGCAAACAATTGTACTATTCCACACAGAGGTGTGAAAAAAGGCTAAATTGTTGCTTTGGGGAGGCACAAATGTTTGTCTGCAACATGCACTTCCACTCCCCAATTTGGCACAATTCTCTAATTCTCTATTTACAGTAGTCTATGAAGCAATGGATTTCCACTTTTGACTCAGAGAAGGTTTAACTCAG